TACCGCACCACACCGCTAGCGTCCCTCCTCCGCAGTGTGAATGCAAAACCTGTCGTCATCATACCCGGCATCGTCACTCGTTTGATGGCGGTCGCTCTTTCCCAGAGCCACACCTCGTGAACCCATTTGCTTGCTTGTAGAGCTATGCTTGAACTCGACATGGTTGCGCAGTTAGTTGCAGACGAGGCATGCAGTGAGATCTGAGGTGGCTGAGTACATGAATGTGTATTGGTTCTCCTGGCCATCGTCGCTCTGGTGTTTACGGCATAGCCAGCGGCTTCCGCGGTGAGATATCGCGTACGATCTGGTTCAGAATTAAATTATATCTGCATTCCAACTGAAAAACCAAGGCAGCTGCTTGTCCCCCGTAGCAGCACCCATCTCTGCGATGTAATTTTTGTGCATCGATCGGTCCATGATTATTGTACGAGAAAGAGTGGCAACTCAGTTGTTCCAAAGGCTGAGCATGCATCTTGGTGTGGGGAAAATAGAACGTTTCCTTGGTGCGTTGCAGGCACCCCACACAACTCAGCTATTGCTTCTCTATCGGTAGGCAGCTCACTCTGGTGGATTGAACTTCTTAGAAGAAGGCCATTGTTGTCACCAGCAGTGCAGTCCCCAGAATAAATGTAGTAGCAAACTTGGTTTTTGTTTTCATGATGACTCCACCAACTCCATCACTACCCGAAGATTGTTGTTGTGGATACTGAGTTCTGGGAATGGGCTGACAGGTATCCTTAGTATTGCCATCTCCTGCTGCCATTGGCGAATTCCATTCGACGGGCGACGGAGAACAGCAAAACTCTTGTAACGATGGTTGTCCCTCGTCCCACGGATCCGTCAGAATCTTGGTGGCATCCTGGTTCAAGTATGCCACCACCGTGGTTTCCAACTCCCGACAGGAAATGCCCAGGGGTGGAATGATGCGGTCGGCTGCTATTGCATCTGTGCAAAGAGACGCATCCTTTGTTGTTGGAGGATTATTATTGTTGTCACTGTCGTGACAGCAAAAGTCCCGTACATGGAATCCATCAAATTGGACCGTGGGATCTGCGTCAAAAACAGTGCACTGTTCCGGTGCCAATCGTTCGACCAACCAGTCATAATACTGACAGGTTCCAAAGTTGGGTCCAGCTACGGCATTTTTATGGCTGTGCAGTTGGGATGCCAATGGATTGATTTTACAGGGATCACTTGACGTCTTGTCCCCACAGAGTGTACATGCCGGCAAGGAGACGGTTTCAGCAGGACAGCCACACCACGTGTCCATTCCAAAGGTCAAATACGGACATTTCAAGGCAACGGCATCACTGCCACGACCAAAATGATCGTATTGCAGACCGGAAAAGAGCGCTTGAAATTCACACGTTCCTTCCACGGGAGTAGTGGGGACTACCACAGTCTTGTTGTAGGATTCATCGCCATCTTTGCAAATCCAACACGCTCGAACTGTACTACTGGGAGGAGTGGGACAGCCACAGTACTGATACGCCCAGAGTTGACTGACCTGACAGACAAAATCAGAATTCGAACGTCCTACGCCAAATACGGACGACACGGCGTTGGTCGGAAAGTCCGTCTGGCACGACAAGGAAACACTAGACGTCAGCCAAAATGTAGTACTTGTACTGGTGGAAGTAGTAGAAGGAGACCCATCGGCACACACGGAACACTCGGATACATCCAAGCGTTCCACCAAAGCCACAGTACCATCACTACTCGACTGAGCAGAGACCAGTGATACCAGCAACAAAACCAGAACACTCATTCTCATGTTGCTGCAGCCCAATAAAAAACAACTGGTTTCACTTGCAGAATTTGGCAACCTTCCAATCTCTTGCACCTGTACCTTTAGATGGTTCTGTAATGTAGAACTTGGAAGATAGCTAGCTAGATATAAGACTACTATGATATAGTAGAAGACTTGGAACGCCTCAAGAAGCCAGGTTGTGAGATGTTGTGAGAAAATTGCAAGTCAAAGATCGAAAGCTTTTTAAAAAGCAGAAAAGATCCAAAACAGGGTTAGGGATTTAGTTCAGGTAGATGGAGTAAAGATTCAATGGTGGGGTTCTTTTCCGGGACTAATTGAAGCCTTTTCTGTATTCATTTCCCCTTAAATATTTCTTTCTCCCATGCCACGAGCCGAGATGCCAAGATCCATTCGACAAGAGAAACGACGACCAGAAGGTTGACAAGCCAATAAATCGTCGGGTCATCTTTTCACGTGAAAGCCGAGATCATTTACAAGAGCGGGTAGCGTGATTTGTCCCTCACAAATTTTCACTTAGGCTAAGTGCTCGAAAAACCACTTAGGCTAAGTAAAACACTTAGCCTAAGCAATACACTTAGGCTAAGCGAAACACTTAGGCTAAGCAATACACTTAGGCTAAGCCATACTAAGCAACTCACTTAGGCTAAGCGAAACACTTAGGCTAAGCCATACTAATCAACTCACTTAGGCTAAGCAAAACACTTAGGCTAAGTGATGCTCTCCGAGGCTCCTCAACAGCACAATTCTCAAGTCTCCTCAACAGCACAACACAACAAGCCCCTGCAACAAGCACACACACAGCCACAAGGAGAGACACAACTATCACCCATCATGCCCCCACTTTCAGCTTCATGTGAACTGCTCAAAGAGCTTCACAAGAAAGAGTTTAATTGGGTTACAACAGAGATTCGAATTCAGGTTGCAACTTCCCTGGAGGATGACACCACTCATACTATTAATCTGGCTTCCACCCTTGGCTATGGTGTGAATAATCCAAAACAACCAGACGACAGCACAGTCTATTGGCTGCCAAAAAAATTCAACCAGAACTCAAGCATATGGCGCGAAACTATGCTTGGCCCACATTTTGTCAAAGCATGTCGTGAGCAAGGATTCCTTATAGTGATGAAAGGGTATGAGAAAAAAAGTCACAACATCAAATTTGTATGTGCTCGTTTTAGATACCACAAAGACGTGTCTACTGGTATTGCTGCTGTTTCAAATTCCATCAAGCAATCACGACGCAGCAAAAAGAAAATTGAGGATCATATACCGTGTTGTAATGTCTGGTTTCTTGCTCCAGTGTGGGAAAATCAGTCAAACCATCCAATTCATCAGAGTGCCGCAATTCTTTGTCATCACCAAGGATTACCAAATCAAATCTTTGTTGAATGATAGTTGGAAGTTCATCTGGGACAGTCTCTATTGCTTGTTTCAAAGTATTGTAGAATGAAAAAGCAACACGCTTTGCTCCAAGACATTTTTTCAATACAGCTCCCAGAACCAAGGAGAGACCACTTGAAATCACATAGCTCGGAACGTCGTTGTTTCCAGGAAGTTGAGTGATATTGTCTGCATTGATAAGGGGAATCTTGTCCAAACAACCAATAACCGTTGGAAAGAAGTCATTTTGGAAATAAATATTGTCGTGATATTCCTGGTTGAACAAGCGTCCGTAATGCGTAGAAGGGTCGACCGTCATAGGCTTGGTGCTCTTGGTAGGAATCAGAATCAAAATGCATAGACCTGTAGATGATGTGATATTTTCTTGTTTCCGCTTTCTGTCATGCTGTTTTGTGTGCTCACGTTGCTTCTCTTTCTTCTTTCTTCCGAGTCAACAACTGCTCCTATGACATGGTCAATCTCAGACCCAAGCTCAGACTCAATCAAATCATCCTCGCCAACACTATTGTTGGTGTTGGTAGCGTTGGTATTGTTGGATGCACCATTGGCCTGTCCTTGTAAGAGTGGAAGCTCATGGTTGTGATTTGTTTCCATCCTTAACAGTTTTTATATTGACATATCTCAGAGCCAGAGTTTTCCCAGTGCCTTTGAAAAAATGAAATCTGACAGATTATGAGCTGAGAGAAGCTGCCACGAAAAGCATCACTTAGGCTAAGTGATTCACTTAGGCTAAGTGATCCACTTAGCCTAAGTAATTCACTTAGGCTAAGTGAATCAAATGTAACTGACTACCTGGTAAATCAAATAAGACTGAATTTCACTTAGGCTAAGTGGTTCACTTAGCCTAAGTAAATCAAATTGAATCACTTAGCCTAAGTGAAAATTCAATCACTTAGCCTAAGTGAAAATTTGTGAGGGACAAATCACGCTACCCCAATGAATACTGCTCTCACTTATTCTATTTAATAGTTAAATCGAAAATCGCCAAAGAAGAAGGAAGGTGGAGTGATGAGTGAGTACTTCAAATACTCATTATATCCACCATCTTTCAACTGCATGTGCGGATAAATACAATAAGTACTCAGGGGTAGCTCTCAGTCATACAGTACAGCTACATCGATCCTTGGCAAGAGGCATGCATGCAACGTGCAACAATGCAACAATGCCATTCGAACAAAAGGACCAGATTCCGAGGCCTGAAGCACGAGACGAATGATTCGATTCAATGATTCAATGCAATCAGACGAAACAAATCCAAGCGACACAATCCGCTGGCCAACAGATCCATGATCGAGAACCCTCCCACAAACAATGGAGGAAGGGGCTGGAGTCGATGACCATGACAATGGTGATGGCGAGGAAGTCCGCCTTCTTACCAAAGAGGATTGCCCAATGCCCAAGATCTTCGGGATAAGACGTGGAATGCTGTGAAACCAATCATAGAGCACGCAAACAAAGACTGGAGTCAGATTCAGGAGAAGGGCGCCCCGCCACTCTTTGATCTCGTCGAGATGGAGAAAAAGATGTTAGGCGGCCTGCCGAGCCATCAAACGATCCAAAGAAGCGTTGGAAGAGGCCACGAATGGGATCGTCCAAGCAGACGTTTGTGTGCGTGAGATTGAAGCTCTCAAGATCCAGATCCAACGGGAGAAAGACATTGCCGATTTGGCCAGATAGAAGCGAGCATTCCAAAGTCCTCAGTGAAAAGGATTCCACGAGGCGAACTATTCTCACTCATTGGCGAGCAGGCTAGGGACCTGCGGCACCAAATCCAAAATTTGGAAAGGGGAATGGATACCGGAGTCGCTCGTGCATACGTTTTGGAAGGAGGTGAAGGAGGGAGAATTGAAGTGCTACAAAGCATTCATAGACGACCCATCCTTGCTTCCTTCCTGGTCGGCTCGTACCGGTACGCTCGACGAACGAGCCCAGGAAGAACAGCGCAAAATCACCAGAGCCAACGAGCGTCTGGTAGATTTGGAGCGGCAGATATTGGACAAGGACACTCTGATCCAAAAAACTGAAACCATTGCCCTCTTGGAAGAAGAGAAAGTAAAGACCGATCTGCTTATTCGGGAATATGATGAGATTGATCAGCTTGTGGCCGTGAAGCTAAAAGAATACAAAGCAGGGTTACCGGCAATGGCAGGGGTCAAACGAAAGAAATAAGTTTTTGAAGTAGTCTACTAGATGGGGGGCAGCGCATTGCTTCCGTAAAATCCTTTAGAGTAAAGAGTAATCATACTGTTCCGGTATTTAGCGAATCTACTCCAAATCGGATGTACCCCGACAGTACCGGGCCAATATATAGCTTACTTGTCGCCATGCCTCACGAGAAGCAAATGTCCGTGGGTATAGCCACAACACTCAATCACATGGCTGCCAATGACGCCCATGAAAATGGCTGTCCGTGGAGCAACAATACATGCTCTCGGGCTGCCAGGGAGCATCTTGCTTGGTGTCCTCACGTAGCTATGTTCATATAAATGGAGCTCGTTGGGATGCAGAGTGAGACATGAACTGCAGCCAAAGGGAAGATTCGGCAATGCTTTCCTTTGCTCATGAAACTGATTTCCCGAGGGAGCGATTTGAAAACTTTTTTAGTAGGATGGTTGTGACAAGTAAGACTGGCCGGATCATAACCCGTATGGTACCGTCTGTCATCGTCCGGAGAAACCGTTGGAAGCCAACTGGAGAAAAACGCGAAAAACAAAAAGTGAGACACCACAATGAAGCTCACAAGCGTTCCAGCACCAATGACAAGGCAAACAGAGCACTCACCACTGCACAAACTCAATAATAGAATCACTTTAA